CCGATCACTGATCAAAGATCTGATTTTTTCACGCTCTATTTAAACTATACAACGTATGTATGTGTTAAAATTAGAATTTTAAGACAAATTTTAATAACTACAAAAATATACAATTATATATATTTATCTAATCTTCTTTTATTTATGTAATTTAATTTTTTATTCAAACATTTTCAAATTAATCTCTGCGCCTCGCGCGGGGATGAAAGACATTAGTGGTGCCATCTATCATTAATTTTATTACGTAACATTTTTCCCTGTGGATAAAATAGTCAAATTATCAAAGTATTTTTTGATAAACTCCAGATGCAAGATGCAATATGTGTATTTACAGTATATTGACAATCTGAATATTTTTTTCTTTATAATAACGCACAACGTATAGTACTTTTAAGTTACGAGCCATGAAATTACTTTATAAATGCTTTTATGAATTTTATAATATCAAGAAAACATAATTCTTTTGAAAAAATTAACAAATAAAAACATAACATTTTTTGTTATGCTTAATAATATGCACAATTATATTCTTGTGCAAATATTTAAAATCTTGTCAATTGTTGAAACTTTATAGTTCTAAATGATGACGCTACGTTTGTTTGACAATCAGGTAAGATACATACATACGGAGTTTATTTTTACATGGAAAACTACATTACGGCTGTTTTGTGTTACATATAACTTATTGACTTTGACTTAACTTATACATTATACTCGACAACTTTTATATTATATATTATCTGCCCTTTAGGATTATTCGACTTTAGATGCTATACCAAACATATGTATGGAGAATTGCGAAATTCGGAACTATGATTATTTGGAAAAATGCATCAGTAATCTCGAAAATAAAGATTCTGGGGTACTACAGAATACCATGAATACTACAGACGTTGGTTTACAAGACAACTTGGATGATGTTAATTTGAATAACATTGATTTTCATTTCATGAAAATTGAAAACTTGCTCTTGCAAAATGCCGAAGAATCTAAAAATTGTATAAAAAGCAAAGAGATAAGGCAGGAAAAGTCATCAGATGTTAATATTTCATACTCAATTCAAAATTTTAACACAATGAATCTAGAGTGCAATACCTTTTCATGTAATTTAAACAAAGAATCAAATGATATAATAACTATTAACAAGAATGAATCTTATACACTTAACAAAAATCTAACAACTCAATGTTTAGAAAAAAAGCCAATAATAGAGAATTATAATTATTCCACTAAACTTCACATAGAAAATAATAATGGAAATGTACATCCTAATACAAATGAAGATAATAGTTGTATAAATCAAAATGTCATATCAAAGAAACATGGAATTAGGATTGATAATCCTCTTCTGGAACCATCAGATGGAAATGAACAAGTTCAAAAGTGTGAACAGTGTCTAATGACATTCAGATATAAAAGACATTTGGATCGTCATTTGGAAGGTCATCAGAAAAATAATTGCTCTCATTGTGATGAAAAATTTGCTAGACGTAAGCATCTGGAAGTTCACTTATTCCGTGCGCATGGAGAAAGAGTGATCAGGCATGCTCATTTGTGTGATGCGTGTCCCAAAAGTTTCCCTAAACGTGCTCTCTTGAATCGTCATAGAGCAAAACATAACTATCAAAGTGGTAAAGTCTGTTCCGAATGTGGAGAAATGATAAATGTAGATATAGATAAGAAAGAGCACGAGGAAAATCACTGTAAAATGAGGCAATTTAAATGCCAACAATGTTTGCAAACATTTAGTATCAAACAGACGTATTTGTCCCATATTCAGAATCATAATAATTATAAATGTCCTAACTGTAATGTCAGTTTTGCATCAAAAAAGAAGGCACATGAGCACTTTAAGGCAATTCATGTACCAAAGTTAAACAAGTCAGAATCGATAAATAATGGTGGTAAATATTTAAAAAAATTTTTAAATATTAAAATAAAAAATCAATCTTCTCATCATTTATCTAATAATTTTATGTTACAGGTCCATATTTTTGTGACAAATGCAAACATACATTTATCAAGAGGGACGACTATTTTCGGCACTTGGAATCTGCATTACATCTAAGTAAAATTAATAGGGACACTCCTATACGAGCTATATTTTCATGTGCATTCTGTTTGAAAAAATTAATTACGCAAAGAGCTCTGGATCAACACATCAGGCGTATTCATAAAGGCGAAAAACGATTCGTGTGTAATATATATGGATGTACATTTCAGTGTGCCAGAAGGACAGATCTGGATAGGCATAAACAGCTGCACATAGAAGAGCGAAATATCGTGTGCGAGCATTGCGGCAAGACGTTTACCAGTATCAGTATTCTTAAGGATCATGTACTTTATATTCATAGTAAAGAGCGACAATTTATTTGCGAAGTGTGCGGCAAAGCGTTCAAGAGAAACAGTTTACTCAAAAGGCATAAATTGTCGCACGAACAACATCGGCCGTTTGTCTGTATGCAATGCAGCACCGCGTTTAAACGCTCCCATCATCTCACTCGTCACATGGAAACCTGTCACAGAATTACACTGAAAAAAAAGAAAAAGGTAAAGCTTTTTTCGAAACAATCTCACTTAATCTCCATATATTTATCCATATATATCCAACACAATTATAATTATGAATGCAGGTGGTAAAGCTCATGAAAACAGAAGATGGTCATCTTGTGCCAGTGCCAGAAAAACCAAACAAATTAGACTGTAATAAAGTGAAAAGTGAAAAAGAGTGTGAATCAACTGTAAAAAGCAGAAAGAAAGATTGCTCAATTACAAATATAGATGCGCAAGTTATAAACGTTGATTCACCACAGAAAGTACAGCCACTATCAAATTCTGAAGAAAACTCTGAATGCTCAAGTCTATCGCTAGAACTTACGAATTTATCTGTTATCGATTCTATTCCACAGGTTCTTTCATTAGTAGATATAAATACGGGACAAGTGCTTACTGTAGAAGTCGCCAATCCAGAAGTTTTACCTACCGATGAGCTCATTGATCAATTTGGAACAAATTGCAGTGAAATATTGAATTTACCAGATTATCAAGATATAGAATTTCACAATAGTCTTTTAAATGTCGATCAAACGTATTGTACAAACATATCGGAGGACAATACAAATTATTCGGAAGTATCCGAAGTATTATTAGAAAATATCGAAGGTTCGTTCTCGCTTATAAACAGTAACGGTAAGATGGAAACAATAGAAAATTATTTAACAAGTGAATTTTCACCGTTTCTTAATATTTAAAGGCTTGCAGAAAAGAAGAGCTGCATGTATATTTTAAATGTACAGTTGCATTTGCTCAAATTTCAAGTATACAATATTGCATTTTATTGAACCCATGCAAAAATATTATTACTTCTTTTGTTAATGTCAAAAATGTTATTAAATTTTATAAAATATATTTTTTTATGTCACAAGTTTAATGTTAGATTAAACAAACTTGTGACATAAAAAAATATATTTTATAAAATTTAATAACATTTTTAGAAAACTCCTATTTTTGAAGATGTATAAGAATATGTATTCTCTGACAAGAAAATAGGAAAGATCTTATTACACCTCATATATATAAAATAAAAAACCTTTTAATTGTATTTTTAAAGCTGTTATTATATATATATATATATATAGATGTGTGTGTGTGTGTGTGTGTGTGTGTGTGTGTGTGTGTGTGTGTGTGTGTGTGTGTGTGTGTGTGTGTGTGTGTGTGTGTGTGTGTGTGTGTGTGTGTGTGTGTGTGTGTGTGTGTGTGTGTGTGTGTGTGTGTGTGTGTGTGTGTGTGTGTGTGTGTGTGTGTGTGTGTGTGTGTGTGTGTGTGTGTGTGTGTGTGTGTGTGTGTGTGTGTGTATAAATTTAATTTAAAATGTATATATTATCTGTTCTATTATCTTTTCTTATTTTATAAGAGCAAAAAATAAAGTGTGTAAAATATGTGTGTGGTGTGACATTAAATATTTTTTATTTAATTTTATAGCAATATGTATTAAACGATTTTATTTATGTATATAAGATTAGTTTTAAAATATATAGAAAAGAAAATATATCTCAACATGAAATTTAATTTCCAGCAATTTTTTAATATAAATTTCATATAAATAATTTCTCTATTTAGCCGAGCTAAATTGAGTTCCTTTCTATTGTTTCACTACTTCACATTTGTTACTTGAAAAAAGTATATAGAATAAAAATAACTACTTTAATTTTGTATATTATGTGTATAGAATATGAGTGAAGATTGCGTAAAGTCGAAAACAGAATTTAATTTAACTTTAATGCATGAATTAGGATTAAAAGGAATATGATACATACATAACACAATTGTATATACAACTATATCGTCCATTTTTTCCTTTAACAGCATATTGAAATATAAAGAAAACTACATTTTGTAAATTTTAATTATGTATTATAAAATCGTAATATACAGAATATAAATGTATTTCTATTTAAACCATGTATCACAAGCACTTTACAAAACACCTCGCGAGCACCTAATGATTAAATATTTACAATGTAAATGTAAATAGTTTTAATAAATGATAGAATTAGAAGAGGGATCAAATATTTTTTTGCCTTTATTCATTAAAAATATGTTTATATTAAGTATA